CTGCCAATCTGGGCAAGCCCGTCTCATGTCACGGGTGGCAAAGCCAGCCTGGTGGGAGCATACGGAACACCCGCGGGCGATGAGATCCAGATGCGACTTCCCTTTCCAAAGGCCTGTGCCCGGGGGCCGGGCCAGGGTCTTTGCTCCCGGGTCCACAGGTCGGCTGGGAATCAGACCACGGTTCGGCCCCCCTGTATTATTTCGTCCCTGTTCAACCCCTTGCTGAGCATTGCATTTCCACCCTCCAGATCTACTGAATCAGAATTTTTTTTTTTTAAACAAGATCCCCCTCCCCTGAATCAGACTGATATGTCTGTGTGGGTGAGGGCCGTGAGACCTTGTGGCCTTTGAAAGGGGCCTTGGTCAGAGGTCTCCGGTGTGGCCAGGGGCTTGAAGACGGATGCCAGGTGTTCTGTTTTGTTCCACTTCCAGCTCTGAGGCGGAGGGTCCCTGGAGAGATCGCTAAAACACAGTGCTGGGCGCCACCTCCAGAGTCTCTTATTCATTCCGTGTGGAGGAGGGCCTGAGAGCCTGCTGTTCTGAGAGCTCCCAGGGAAGTCTTCCAAGTCTGGCGGCCACTGGCTGATGGAGGGAATGTGGAATCTGAGTTCCTCTCTTCGCTGGGGCGTAGTTCCACCTCGACCACGTTTGCTAGCTGTGAGCCTTGGGCATTATTTAGCAAAAACGAGGACAGGCTTGCATTACTTGGGTTGTATGTCTGTAGTTTGGAAGGCTTTGCTGTGTGGGGGTACTGCCTGAGAGAAGTCCCAGCCCCGAGGTCTGGCTAGCAGGGCCAGGTCCCTCAGAGAGACCCAGAACAGTGACAGCGCAGCTGCAACTCCAGCTGCCTCCACACCCTCCGGGGGTGGGGTGTGGGGTGGGGTTGACCACGTAAAGGGCAGAGGGAAGGTGGCCTGGGCAGAATTCTCCAACACCTCTACATCAATGTTGGGCTGGCAACACCCTGGGATCAGAGCACAGTTCTCCTTTGCCTTTGTGTTTAGGCAGGCAGTAGGACATCCGTTCCCCAAACGCCTAGACCTCCACCCAGCTCAGGTGTTGTTTTCCCAGAGGGTAGCCCCTCAAAAGTCCTCAAAAGAATCCAGCCGTTGACTGAGCCTGGTAGCAGTGGCAGGGGCGGAGGGCAAACTCTGAAAGTGGTCATGTCTGAGAGAAACGAGTCTGGGCAGAAGGAGCCCACCTCTCAAGCAGGGGCGGCGCCCTTCAGGAGGCCCTCAGTGTAGCACCAGGTGGAAACAGTCCTTGGATTTGCTTCCATGGTGACCAGAGTCGAGGGGAGGGGGTATGGAAAGGAAAACCGCCATGTGTGGTTCACTGTCCGAGCTGGGGGACAGGTATGTAGGGGACTGTCCTGTTCTCTCCTGTGCTTTATCTGGGAGCCCTGGTGGGCTAGTGGGTACGTGATAGACTGCTAACCGCTAGGTCAGCAGTTTGAAACCAGCGGCCACTCCGCCAGGAGAGAAAGGTGAGGTTTTCCACTCCCGTAAAGAGTGACCGTCTCGGAAACTCACAGGGCAGCTCTGCCCTGTCCTATGGGGCCGCTGTGAGTTGGCATCTATTCGATGGCAGTGAGTCTGGTTTCTTTAGTTTACTTTTACAAATAGAAAACCTATCTCAAAGGGACATATTAAACGTTGTATTTAAGAAAGCAGCACACAATGCTGACCAAATCGTTGGTCCTTAGGGAGTTCTCGGTCTCCCTTCTTACAGGGGAAGCCACCCTGTGTAAGTACATTACCTCCACAACCCTTGGTGAACCCTGTAAAATTACAGCGACTCCTTAGAACCATTCTTGGACCGCTTCTAGTGCTGTGCTCTTCTCTCCATGGGTCTAGAGCAGGGTTTGGCCAACTACAGCCTGCAGACCACACCCAGTCCACCCACTGTTTTCACAACAAAGGTTTCACTGGAACATAGCTCTCACTCTCCCATGGCAGAGCTGAGTACCTTCGAGGAAGACCACGTGGCCCAGAAAGCCCAAAACATTTGCTATCTGTGCTCTGGAGGACCCTGGAGAAAAGGAGAGGAACTCAGGCCTGCCCCCCTTATCTCAGGACCCTCTGCCAGGCATCCTTCCTTTCCACCCACATTCTGTCATCTCCTCCACATTCTCTGGGGAGAGAAAGCGGACTCCTTTGCCTGTGAGAAGGAGGGAGTTCTGAAGAAAGAGAGGGTTTCCTGGCTCCGAGGGCACTCCGACCACTTCCAGAGCAGGCATGACATCTAGGACGAGAAGGGCTAACCCATCACATCTAGCATCAGGGAGTCGATCGGTGGTGTCAAGGATCTCCTGAGTAAAGAGGAGGACGTTTCAGAGACCTGAATGTTGGAGGTCCCCGGAAGAAGCAACAAAAGGAAGCCCAAGACAATCCAGGCTATGGGCCGACCAGAGGCCTTCTGCAGAAAAGGCAAGAGGAAGCAAAGACACCCCAAGGAGCCAGGGGTCTCAGCAGACTTGAGGGCAGCTCCCTCTGCCACGGTGAGATACGTTACACAAGGTCAAAATGCCAACTCCTTCTAGTGGGTTGGCAAAGAGAAGAGTAAGGGGAGCTCCAGGGCCTGGGAGGGGCACCATGACCACCACCATGCTGTCCCCATCCTCACGGCTTTCCCCGGGGAGTATGGGACCGTGGGGTCCTTGGAGGCCAGCCAACGTCTCAAGAATGGACACATCGGTCGGTAGGAGGGAGTGGGCAGTCCTGTGGTTCCCACAGTCTCTCGACTGTCAGCTCACGTGGCTTTTGAATGCTCGGTCTCAGACCGAGGGCCAGGGGGTGGGGCTAGGTATTCCTAGGGGACTCGCAGACATGAATTTCTTGACTGATGAGCCCTTCCTTAACCTTGGAAGGAGGCCTTGGTAATAGATTGGTGGTGGAATAAAAACGGAGGTAATTGACATTTTCCCATTCTAAAGCAGATTCTGATGCGTGCTGTGACCTAGACAAGCGATTACCGTTTTCTGGGCAATGCTGACCCCAAGGAGGCCATTTCTGCCACCCCTGTCCTTCTGAAGAGCAGAAGCACTGGGGCGCCTCTGGAGGATGAGAAAGCACGGCCTAAAGGCCCCGAGTCATGCAGGCTAGGAGGCCGGCCGCTTCTGGGATGAGAAAACCGAGGCAAGGACCTTTCCTAGCTGAGAGAGAGAGAGAGACAGAGAGAGACGGTCAAGATGCACACCCCCTGGGATGCCTTCTGTGAGGAGAGACAGTCCGGCTCCGTGTCTGTGCTGCGTTGCTACCAGGAAGAGTAACGTGCCTGCCAAGCCGCCCCACTGGGGCAGCTGCCCATCCCGGTGCTGTGGCTCCTCCACACATGCTCACGGAGCCGCTGCTCGCCAGGCCATAGCACACCTGACACTCAAAGCCACTCACCTGCCATGTTGGGAATGTTAACGGTCAGCCTTTCGAATTACAGGGCATTTTAAGGAAGAAGAAAAAAGAAAAGGGCAGTCAACTTGGGTTTCGGCAAGGTAGGGTGTGGCGTTTCTTTAAAACCCAAGTCAAATGGCCGGGGGGCTGGAAGGCCTTGTTTCTCTGCTACTGTCCGCAGTCAGCCAGTGCAGCAGGGGGCAGTGCCCGTGTCCGCTGCCCGTGGGAGCATGTGCCACGGACGGAAGGCGCTCTCTGTTCCCTGCGCCCTTCGGGGCTCTGGAACTTCAAAGCACTTTACAGCCGGAGCCGGAAGCGGACTCCAGTTGAGGCACAGACTCTAAGACCTGACACAGCGCTCTTTCCGCTAGGCAGCTGGGGGAGGGACAGGACCAGACAGCCTAGGAGGAAGAGAAGAGCGGCTGTCAGAACAAAGAGAAGGCCCCAGGAGTACCTGGAAAGGAGTGAAGGCTGATGGGAGAGCGAAGACGTTCACAGGCAACCCGGCCCAGCGACCAGTCGAAAGGAAAGCCCAGCAGGCCTTTGGACGGAGAGGCGGATCTTAAGGTCGGTAAAGTGCTTTGAGCTACAGAGGGGCGGGCAGGAGGGGAGTAATCGGCTGAGCAACCCCAAAGTCTCCGAGATGGGCGGCACAGGGCCGAGTCAGGGTACTCTTCTGACCCAGCTCTCCAAACCACCTCCGGCCTAGCAGGCCCAGGCCGGGCAGCTTCTTCATGCTGGTGCTCAACACCCAGGACGAGCCTAGGCTCCTGACCACACTAGCAGGCTCCCCAGCAGCACCGTAGCCGCCAAGCCACGTGGCCCAGGATCATGAAACAATCCAGACTTTTCCAAGTGATCTCTCCCTCAGGGCTCCGACATCTGTTAGGCCTGCTCCCTGCTCCACAGGCACCCAGGCTCCCTTTCCTGCTCCCCCAGCCCCCCACCCCCACCAGCCTCAGACCAAACTGATGCTGGAGACCAGGCCCCTCCCTTACCTCGAGAGATGGTCCCTCCGGGGGCAGGGTTGACACACATGGGTGGAAGGCGGGGTGGGGGGAGTTTGCACTGACGTTGCCTGTGCTGGGCCCGATCTGGGGGGGGAAACGAGAGGGCATCAGAGTGACAGAGTCCCACACCTCCCAGTTACAGACCCCTTCAGCTGACTCACCCCCAGAGCATCCGTGAGGAGCTTTGGGCAACAGGCTGCTGGATGGTACTGGGAGACAACGGTCGATTCCATCACAGCTGGGAGACATGATGGCTTTGTAGCGGTCCCTACTCAGCTCTCAAAAAAGTCCTTCCACTGCCCAGTCCCTGTTCCCTTTGTGCCCACCCCTAGCCCCACCCCCACCCCCACCCCGCAGGAGATGAACACCCCTTCTGCGCACATCTCTCAAGTCTTGCATTATTTGGATGAGATAGGACAATTGAAATGGCACTGTGTCTTCTGCCCTGGCAGCTAGCCCCACCTTTGCTATGGGTTCCCCCGGGGGCCACCTCAGCCACTGGACCCCAAACCAATCTTTCCCTCTCAGAAGTGGGCAAGAGGGACTGGTTACTGCTGGGTTCTTCCCTGGAAGCCCAGTGGGGCCCCGCAATCAGCAGCCCTCTCTCCCTTTCTCAAAGGTTCACAACTTGCCCTTCCAACTATTTCCATCTGTTGGGAGACGCAGCCCTATTATTTCTGGGTGACCGACAAAGCACTTTTTTTTTTGCGTTTTACGAAGTTCTGAAATGTTGACATACATAAACTAAAAGTAAGCCACTCACTGGGTCTTTTCCATGAGAAGGCAGAAATGGACAGGTAAGGAAGCCTTTAGGTCTTTTAAACCACTTAAATGGTGAGAACGTCAGAGACTCGAGTCTGGGGGGAAAGGTGCAGGAGCGCTTCATTCTCTTTGCCCAGTGGTTTCTGGATAGTGAATGGGAGAGGAGAGGAGGGGGAGAAACAGCACACACGCTACACACTGCAGCAACCGGCCACGCCGCTGCCTAGAGGCCTGGGGCCGACCGTCCAAGCTAGCTCAGCTGCAATTGGTAAGGACGGCAGCAATCACGTGGACAGGCACCTTGGTGGAAGACTCAAATTCTCCTGCCACCCAGACTTTACAAAGTGGAGGCTGGACAAAGCGAGACCAGTGCCCTGAGATCACCTTTAAACCTCGATGGAGTCCTCTTAAAACCCAACAGCAGCTCACCTGAACTAATAAGAAAGCCTGCCGTGAGTCCTGTGCGCTCCAAAGAACGACCTAGACGGGATGGAGCTGAGAAGCCCGGCCAGGGAGCCTGGGGGCAGTGAGGCGGTGATGTGAATGGGGGGCCAGTCCGCAGAGGAGGGTGAGCACCGTTTTACAACGCAGAGATGCCGTCGGGGTCATGGAACTGTGCATGCAGACACGGCTGGATGGGCGTCCGTTCTGTTATTTGTGTTTTCAGCAACAACAACCACAAATCCTTTTTAAAATGAACCGTGATTCTGCGTTTTTTTTTAAATCAAAGGCAGTGGAACTGTAACCCCCAGCAGGAAGCGTTCTGACCCTTGTTCTTGGTGTAAGTCAAATGGGGGTGCCGGTGCACCTAACTGCCTTCAATAGGTGCACAGCTGTACAGAGCTGAACTGGCAGAAGGGATGGGGTCAGAGGGCAACAAAAAGACATAAAAGCTACATACGTGCAACTCCTCAGGGGATCTGGTTTCCAGGTTTGAAGGCTTAAGGCCATGGTTTTATCCCAGTTTATTGGCCTAATAACATGCTGAATGCTTCTGTTCCGCCTCCTAGTTTATTGCCTAGTGCCAGCGGTCTAAGAGCTGGCAAGAGGAAGGAGCAGACTCAGAAACAGGAAGAGGATTTGGAATGTGTTGCTAATTGCCTCCAAGAATAGACATCTCTTCCACAGGGAGGCCAGAAGCCCTAGATGGTGCCCAGAGACCATCACTGAGGGTATTGATCAAAGATTCTATAGGAGGGCCCCAAACACTTGTGGAGTATCCAAATTTTCAGGATCCCTTAGATAGGTTTTCCTTTCTTTTCACTTTGGTGTTTTGAGTTTCACTATGTTTTTGTTTCACTATGACTGCAAAACATGGACCCAACTCAACGGTCTCTACAGGTACCATTCAGTGAGATGGCTTCAGGGTCCACGTGGTGGGCCATCCCCCTCCCCGACAGAGGCGTTCCGCCCCTCAGAACCACGACCTGAGGCTCCCGTCTCCTTTCAGGTGACTGTTGTCAATTCGGTCTGAAAAGAGCACAACGCTCCAGGTGGGCAGTCTTGATTAGTAATCCATGGTTTGGCTTTAAGAATACTTCAGGGGATATTATTTAAGGCTTAGAGATGACATCTTTCCAGGGATTCATCCAACCTTCATGGCTCCAGGATGTCTGGAGTCCTTGAGAATCTGAAATTGTTCTGCAGCCCCCACCCCCAACTTGATCAGGGTTCATCTATAAACTCTTGGATCACAATGATCAGTCCTGGTAGCCAAGCGCTACCCAGTTTTGATGTCCCTGACGTGATCATTAAACAGACGCCATCAATATCCCTAGAGTCCTCTCAAAGCAAACCAAGAGTTTTAGTTTAACTTGTCAAGAAGGACGTCCTTAAGCAACGTACTCTTTGAAGACCGACCTGTCGGGCATCAAATGGCCACCAGTCACGGGGAAGTTGGGGTCCTCCCTGAAGACAGGAGTGGCAGGGCAAGCAGGGAGTGTGTGCATGCAGGAGAAACAACTGAGAAGAGGACAGGAAGGGCTGTCATCCCACCTGCAGACTCCAGTGAGCTCACTTATGTTCTGCTGTGGACCAGGGGACTTCCAAGAGCTCCTAGAGCAGCGCTTCTCAACCGGTGGGTCGCGATCCCTTTGGGGTCAAACGACCCTTTCACAGGGGTTGCCCAATTCATAACAGTATCAAAGTGACACTTAGGAAGTAGCAACGAAAATAATTTTATTGGTGGGGGGGGGTCACCACCACATGAGGAACTGTATGAAAGGGCTGAGGCATTAGGAAAGTGGAGAACCACTGTCCTAGACAATCTTTCCAGGAGCTTTTTGATGCCCCCTCATAGTCTACAACAACAAGGTGATTTTTTTTTTAAGTGAGTGTCCATAGAGGCTTGGGGTAGTACAGACACAGGAGCCCACTGTAAAAATTTTTCAGCGTGTCAGTATTTTGGGAGCACTTTCATAATAGGATGTGAGGGGGGAGCCAACACCTGCAGTCAGGCCAACCTCCCACACACCCAGCTGCACCTGCTCAGAGCTCCACTCCCACCTGCGCTGCCTCAGCACTGCCAGCCTGGTCTGCATCACACTGCGCTGCTTGTCTCAGTGGTTCAAAGCATCTTCCCAGGCACCAGTTACTGTGATCACTCTGTGCAGACAGCTACAGTTGTGGAACCCCACCTCAGCTTTTTCCATAAGGCCTCATGATATCCTAGGTGTGCGATTTTGCAGCAAACACACTGTGCAAGAGCTAGAATGTGCCTGTGAGAGGGCCTGGCACCAGAGGCCAAGGATCAAAGTTGATCTGGGAACTAAATCCAGCTCTGCCTTGAAGCTAAGGTTGGAAGTGACCGGCTCAACCTTTCCGTGAGTGTCACAGGGAGGCTCTCCTTCACATCCAGGTATGCAGGACGGCACAGAAAAGGATCAAAGACCGGACCATTTTTCATCACCTCCTTAAGCAATCGCACACCCCCACTGGGCCCTCTCCTGACCCTGGAGCGACCGGTGTGACCTCATGATGCTTTCACCGTCCTACAGGACTCTTCTTGTGCAGCAGACAGGGCTGGAAAGGGGTGGGTTTGAACCGCCCAGCTATTTCAGTTAGGAGTGGAGTGCTCGGTCACCAAGCCCCAGGGCTCCTCCAAGCCACCACAGGGAGCTCCATGCGCATCATGAGGAGTCAGCATCTAAAAGTGAAACGCCAGGGGAGACTAGGAACCGTCCTACATAATTATAAAAAATGCCACAAGGTCACACATGACCGAGTGCCAAGGTCAGGAAACAGACTACCAGTCAGAGAACAGGGGAGGCATCAGCTGGGGAGCTGAGGAAGGCAGGGCGGCCTGCATGGACACTGTCAAGCTGGTAACTCATTCTGATGAATGCTAACTCCGAGAGCTTGGACCAGAAGATGGTTGTTGGTAAGAAAACACTTACTTGTGTGGAAAGCAAGGCCCCAAATCAGATGCTAAGATACCTGAAGCTACTGGACAACAGCAGGGACTGTGTGTTTACCAGGGAGCAGGCCCTGCTCTAAGCTCCTGACACGCATTCACCCACTGGATCCTGGGAGCAATCCTCCCAGACAGGGTCTGGGATTCGGCTGCTGAAATCATGAGGAGATGCAGACCGATGGCGATGACTGCCTGCCCCAGCTTCGCCAGCCTGAGAGGGGCAGAGCGGAGAGGGACCGAGGCACCTGGCTCCATCCAGAGTCTCTGCTCAGTGAGGCACGGCTGCTGCCTCCCACCTCCACTGAGAGCTAGTGTGTCATCCACCCTCAGCCTGGAAGGGGGATCACAGATACCGGGAGGGAATGCTGCCGGGCGCCCCTCCCTCGCCCGGGCCCTCTCCCTATCCCATCACAGAGGAGAGAGGAGGAGGTGATGGAGTTGAGCATCCCACCGCTGTGCAGGACTGAATGCAGAGCTCCCTTGTCCTGGCGAGGGCCTCCTTTTATAAGCGGGTGGACCACAAAACCCACTGATTGACCGGGAAACACCAAGCAGTTGTTGACACTCCGTTTTCAGCTCAGAAAGTACTACCCCACACTAATCTCAAGCTCAGTGACCCCTTCACAAGCACGGTTCACCAACAAAACCAGGACAGGAGCAGTTATGTCTGACAGGTGGTGTGGGGAGGGCTTGAAGAAACGCGAGGAGGCAGGAAGAGGTGGCCGAGTTCTGGCGCATCCAGCCCACCCACGGCCTCCACGCCAGGGGTCAGGATGGCACCGCTTGGCCAGGTTTTTCGTGGGCCTAGAGGAACATAACTTGGAGAGGAGAAATGGTTGGGAGGGTCTCTTTAGTCAGCAGTTATGGAAGGCTCGTTATTAGTTTCATTGATTTCTAAAACATGTTCAGGCAGGAAACCAAGAGCCGGCTTCAGCACAGGTGACCGGCCTTTTTCTCCTGATCCCCTGGAAGGAGACAAGCCGTACTTCTGTTTCAGTCTTAGGAAATTCTCTGACTTCCCAAAGCCTGGCCCAGCTGTATCACTTCCTGTGAGCTGCCCGCTAGCCCTGTCACACACAGCTCAGCTCTGACACCGCTGATGCCATCCCTGCCCTGTCTGCTGGAGAGTGTGATTTCAAAACTCCAGTGTCACCTTGCCACAATTTCTGGGACCACCAAGAGACTGATCACTCGGGAACTTCCACCAGTGCTCACAAACAGCTGTGCCACTTGTGATGGATGCTAAAGATGAGCATGAGAGAGGCCCTGCCTGTAGGAAGCTGCCAATCTCGTCAGGGACTGGACAGTTCAAAGTAGACTAGACACAAAGAAGCAGTGAACAGAGAGGGTGCTCTGTGCAAAGCTGGAGAGAAGAGAGACTGCATTTGGTTGATAGAATCAGGGAAGGTTCATGCAGGAGACAGCCTCGATGTTAGGGTCGGTGTCGATACGTAGTGAATAGCATCCGTCCGGGGCTGGGGGAACAGATAGACGTACAGGCCTGGGCAAGGAAGGGGCTTGGGGTGGTAAGCACCGTGAAACAGAAGGGCAGGCAAGGAGGCCTTTGGGAAATCACCCAAGGGGGTCCAAGGACGACACACTGGTGAGAAAGGTTAACAGGTGCCCACTCCATGGAAGAGGGGCGTGAAATCACCAGGACAGTCGTGCTCTTACCTTTTCTGAATGAGTCCAGGCTGAACATTTCTGGCCAGGAAGAAAAGCTGGAATCCTGAGGAGGAGGAGGAGGGTCAGAGGCCACAGTTAATACAGCCCCAGTCCGGGATCACAGAGAAGACATTAATAACACAGAGAAACACTGTCCAGAAGATGAGATACAGGAAGCTCACTAAAGAGCCCCAACTGCTGCTCTCCAGTCTTACGGATGGGAGGGGCCAGCTCCTGACTGGAGTCTTTACTAGATGCTTTGTTTCTCTCTCATTGAGAGCTTTCTTCTTTTCTCTGACCTAACTCTCCCTGAACCCTGTTAAACAGAAAGGGGGTGCGTTTCACCATGAGAAACAAATATTTCCACCTCCTCACAATACTTGCAAATCTCCCCGGGACTTCCAGGAAGAAAAGAAATTCTTCGAGGGCCCCTTCACTCAAGTGGTATCCGGAAAGGACACCAATGATGGCCTTGGAGGCAATCTGGCTTACTGGGCTGTCACAAAGCCTAGTTCAAGTTCCCGGAAGTGGATATGACTGACAGAAGCAAATAGTGAGTGTGCAGTGATTCCAAACAAAAAGCTTTTCAGAATGGAGTCTTTGAAAAATAGCAGCAAATATCAAATTCAAGCCCAACTGCTGGTGCATTTGCTCATTAAACACATCTAACTGGGGAACACGCCTAGCAAGCACAATGAAAATTTAGGGAAGGGACCATCTCTGGTTTAACAAATTTGCTTTAATAAATTACTCAAAACTTCTGGATGTTCTTAAGCAAGTCAAAGTGCTGGGTTAGGTGCAATAAACCTTAGATGGCAAAGATCAACACAGTGTTTTTATAAGTCAGGATAATGCCCAGCATTACCAAGAGTCTACTGGGGCCTCCAATCCTGCTCCTGTGTGCTATTCCCTTTTATTTTCAAACCTTGAGGAGGTGGGGGTTGGAGGGCTGACCTGGAGCCGAATCTTTCAGGTCCATAGCAGGTCTGCCCTGATGGCCTCCTCTCCCCCAGGGATGCCGCAAATCTCAGCCAATAGGATATGGTAGCTCAGAGAGAACACTTCAATACAATATCAACAATGGTCAATTTTACTTTAGGAAGTTATACTCTGCAGACCCTTCTATCCAAATCATGAGGAATAAAAGGGGTAGAATTTGGGGTTTGAAGGGAAAACTACTATAAGATCCAAAGCATCTCAAATGCCTATTACTGAAGCAATCCTTTCTTGCTAAGAGATTGTAAGTTTGATTACAGTGAACCCTCGCCACTTCGCGCTTCGACTTCCGCGGCTTCGCTCTATCGCGGTTTTTGCGTAACAGCGCCTGTTCTGTCATTACTGCCACTGATTGGCTCTTACTGTACACGCTTGATGCCATAAATAATATAATAAATAATAAATGATAATTGTAACGTCCAAAATGTTTTGCTGTATTTTCCCTTTTTCGTTTAATAAATTGGGTAATACGAGTGTCATGGTGACTAAAGGGTGTTTTTTCATGTCCTCTATGCTCTAACTACGAAAATATTTGATTTACAAATAAGGAATCCTACTTAGCGGAATTTCATTTATCATGGTAGGGTCTAGAACCGATTAACCGCGATCAACGAGGGTTCACTGTACTTGAAAAGAGACCCTGGTTTTGCTTTTACGAAGCCCCTAACGTAGGTCTGGGCAAACGTTTTCTATCCAGGTCCAGGAAGTAATATTTTCGGCTTTGCCAGTCAGGTGGTAAAACTGTGTGGCAAAAATGTTGTAGCATGGCCTCACTCACTGGCCATTCACACATGAATGCACACGCGTGTGCTTCAGAAAAACCTTATGCTGGGAGTGGGCTGGAGTGTCCCTAGGTATGTAGTGACTGGGGCTCATATACCAGTATCTTTTCCTGAGCCAGCCTGAAAAAAAAAAAGAAAACATAGCACAAAATTCGAAGTAGGATCTTTCAGAGATATTTTACAGAGCTCAAGACATTGAAAACTCAAAAATCCAAGCTCAATGTCATCGAGTTGATCCTGACTCCTAAAAAGCCTATCAGGGTAGAACTGTCTCTAGGTTTCCAAGACAGTAATTCCACAGGCCGTACTGGAGTAGAAAGCCTCATCTTTCATTCTTGAAGTGGCTATTGGTTTGGAACTGCTCACCTTGTGGTTAGCAACCTAATGAATAACCACTACACCACCAGAGATCCCATGACATTTCATAGAGGTTTAAAAAAAAAAAAAGCAAACTTCCTTGTAATGCACAACAAAAGTATGTTAAAAACCACTGTGGTTCAGTAATTCTCTTAAAACTTACAGACAAGTACAATTTTATCATGTTAAGAACTCTTACATAAGGAAACCACACTTGATTCCAGGTGTAATCACTGTGGGATGATTCCAGGGTGGAGAGATGCCACAGTGACCAATTAAAGAGCACACCCCTGTTCCAGATCGCTCAAACGAACCTGCCACCAGGCTCAACCAGACTTTGTGGGCCTGGCTCCATCCACCTACCTTATAAGAGCGTTGACAGTCCCGGATTGTGCAGCCTTTCCAAGTGGAGCTGGGTCCTCTCCTTGCTATTCCTCATCCCGAGGCTGGGCCTCCTCCTGGAAAGGACAATGCTGGGTCACCAAAATGGTGATCCCCACAGGGAAGGAAAGGTACTCCGATCACTGAAATTCACTTAACAACTCTAACAATAAGGACAGAGTTCATTAGTGGCATGGAACACATACATTGGCAACCTTGGCCTCTCTTCAGGACCCGTCAGGATGCCACACTAGACCATCACATTGCAAGATGTCCTAACACCGAGCCCTCAGAAACCAAGCGAAACATGTGAAAGTAACAAGTGTCTAGCAGGCCAGAAAAGCATTTTTCTCCAAACCCAGAGGAAAACTTGCTCCATTTCCACCAACTCTAATACAAGTTTAAGCAAGGTCAATCAAGAAGCTACAGAGAACCCTGGGGACAGCCAGGATACAATGAGACTGCCCAGTTTTTCAAGGTCTCGCAAGTTTTCCGCCTTTGTCAGGTGCAGTCACCGCTTTTCCATGGCTACTGACTAGAACACAGTCGCATTTTCCTTCACTGACAGGTTCACTGGCCCCAGCCTCCACGGGTTTTTTTTTGTTACGGTATAAATGCCATTCTGGAACGGGAAGATAACAAAGCTCAATGGTAAACAGCATGATTACAGTCTGCAAAGAACTTCCACAGACTTTATCGTATGTAATCCACGTGACCGCCCTGTGAGGTACGAATGCTCTTCTCCAAGGAAAGAACAGAATCACAATGCACACAACTTGCTTCTAAGATCTCATAGCTGGCACCCGGCAGCTCTTCACTTAGATACTCTCACTCCAAAGTCGCCCCAAGCTTATACTACACTTTTTTTTCTCACTCCCAAGATATCATAGTATTGCCTAAGGGCAATAACATTTTAAATAACATTTACAGTAATATCTTTCAAGGGTTAAAAGGGATGAGAAGGCATGGCTGATAAGCCCTTGGACCACAACCACATACAACCAAAAAACTTGGAATGTAAATAGCTCTGCCCAACTAAAAGGGCAACAAACACAGGAAGGAAATGTAGTACATTCCTAAACATACACCAGCGACAAGAATCAAGAGCGGTCATCGATTCCCTCTTGGAAACTTCCAGGGCCCTTCAGAGGTTTACATGTTAATTTCAGCACAAAACTCAGTGTAACCACGGGGTCACTGCCTTCACAGAAACTCCTAGGGAAACCAGCAAGAGGTCTCATCTCACCCTGGCCACCAGCCGCAACCACAAATAGGTTAAGAGGCTGCAGGGCCATCTGCAGTCCACCTGCTACAGAGTATGGCAAGGCCCGTGGATCAGGGTTGCAAAGTGGAACGACCCCTGCTTTGCAAAATCGCAAAGGGGGTCGTTCCCCAAAGGGGATCATTGCTGCTTCCCGGGGACTAGCTAGACAGCATGCTCCTGGCTTGATGGCTCTGAAGACCCCTGGGACTCCAGTTCCCTGCAAACAAAGGGCTCAACATGCATTAGGTCTTCCCCTGCGAAATGGGGCAAGTCACCACCAGCAAACAAAGAACACATCACCCTTTGGCCTCCACCAGTGACACGGTCGATGCAAAACGGGGCAAACCAGGGAGGGCAGAATGCATCAGGCCTCTTTCTGGACGAACGGTCAAGGAAGCAGAGGGGGGTGCAGACAAAGGTCCCGGGGCACTCTCCAGGGGCTTGCTACAGAGGCCCTGCCTTGGGGAAACCGAGCATCCCCAGAGGCGAGGACGTCGTTGCGCCAATGAAGAGGCCTTTCCCGCGGCCCCCGCGGAGCCCCAGGCGGCGTGGCCCGCCCCAGCGGACCGGCCTGGCCCCCGCCCCCGTCCCGGTTCCATGGCAACGGTAGGCCGAGCCCTGGTTGCCCACGGCTCGGCCCGGCCGGCTTCCCGGGCAGGCCTAGGATGATGCCTGGCCTGCTCCTCGGGCCCGCCCGCCTCTCCGCCCCACTCGCCGCCTGGCCCGCGATCGGGCCCGCGCCCAGCTCGCGCCGACCACCCCAAGCAGCGGCAGGCTCCTCGAGGGGGCACGAAAGGGGAGAATAAAAAGCCCAATTCACCTGTTGTTACAGATGTGAAACAAGCCTCGGTGCACCGCGCATGAGCCGCGCCCCCCCCCAACGTGGCCGAACTACAACTCCCACAAGCAGTAGCGCGGCCACTTCCGGGGCCGGTGGCGG